CTCTTAAGTTTGCTGTGTTAACTTTGACTTTACATCATGATGCTTTCATGTGGCCTTCAAAAATGTAGCAAACATGCTAGCTGGCACTAACTCATGCTAGCTGATGTGAGTGACTCTGACATTAAAGGGGAATGTTTTATTACTGCATTGTTTTTGTGATATTATTTATAAGATCTACTGTTCATATCATACACGTGTTTGCTTATAAATAAAAAATTATCCCCGCTAAGCTCCGGCCCAAACAACAGCGTAATCTTTAGAAGAATGACTGATTCAACATTTCTTGTGCTGGTATGAAAACAGTCCTTTTCTTGTTTTTGCACTATTTTAAGATATTTGGAAGGCTGCTTCCCTAAAAATAACTTTACTTCAGAATATATGAATATGAATATGTTAACTAACAAAGACAGATGAAGAAGAAAATATATGGATTGAGAATAGTTTATTGTAATAAGAGATTGAAATAATGAGTGAGTTTGGATGATGAGGGAATTAAGAGATGAAGGCCGCCTGTAGCGTTGCCTCCCATTTTGGCCAAAAAGTTGCACTTGAACACATCGCAAAGACTACAGCCGACGGCCAACCACCATGTACGTTCTGCGCATGCATGAGAGGAAATATCTCCCAATGCCAGCAGGGGGCGGTAGTCCGTTGTTATGATACGAGAAGACCAATTTTCACCCCGCTGTCGCTCACCACTCGTATTATAGGTCGTCTACTAATGGAGAATAATGTCTGATAAAAAGTTGAAAATGGCGCTGGTGTTGTCAGTTCTTGGTGTTTAGTGGAAAAAGAAAAGAAGAGGAGGAGGAGACAAATAAGGAGAAACCTCACTAATGGGTGAAAGCATGGAGACTACAGAGACATGCTCAAGAGGCTTTACTGAACCTGAGAGGAGAGCTGGAGAGAAATGAAACCTCCCAACAGCCAATCAAGAGATTCCTCACGCTGACCAATGCAGATTCCAACATGTCGAATCGGCTGAAAAAAAAGGCAGACGGGAAGCGACGGAGCCGACACATCTCAAAAAGTAGGGCGGCGGCCGCTCACCGACGGTCCAACTAGGACCAAGGGTTAAGGGATGATGGTTAAGATTGAGGGATGATTGATGAAGGGATGCAGACAAGAGAGAGGAAAATATGCGGTTGAGGTTTGACGGGTGAAGTACAAGTATGTGGGCGGCTGTGGCTCAGTTGGTAGAGTCGTCGCTCTCAACCAGACGTTCAAGGGTTCAATCCCCAGCTGAGCAACATGTACAATGTGTCCTTGGGCAAGACACTTAACCCCGCATTGCTCCTGCTGCTTCGGTGGCGGTGTATGAATGGATTAGTGTTGTACTTACTCTCCGATGTATCGCTTTGGATAGCGTCTGCTAAGTGAATTGTAACATTGTAAGTATGGGTGTCTTTGGGTCGTGAATATTTGATGATTCCATGACAACCTGAGTAACAGAGCATCACCCCTGCTGAAGCTCTGTACCAGAACATCTGGCTGGGATGATGAAACCCACATCAGAATTAAGCGACCATCAACTCATGAAAATGATTTTGTGAACAGGAAGGGATATCACTCCATGAGTTAATGTTCACGCAAAGACATCAATACTTTTATTAAAATAAGCAGCTTTACAGTCACAAATATTTGCCTGGACTGAGGTCATCAGGCACGACGACGCGTCTCCGATAACAGACCTGGTGTTGTGTTGAAGTGGAGTTTGGACTGTGAGGTCACACAAACAAGGAACAAACTTTCCCCTCAGTTATTTTGTGGCCCTAATAAAAAGTTTTTGCATCGAACAAATACCTCCCGTCTCTGCAACAGGAGCTCTATTATGTTTGATCTTCAGCTCCCACTCATGCTCATCCAGCATGGCTGGCCTGAGTGTGTCCGCCTCGTCCTGTTTGCTTCACAGGTAAGAGGAGAGCGCTGCTATTATTGTCATCTTATGTTTCATTACTTTACTGGATTAATAGACTCGAGGTGAGTATGATTTGGTGATATTTTCTGTTTCACTGTCTCATCTGTGACAACATACAGGATGTAATGTTTGGTGTCTGGCTGGCTATGAAGGAAAAGCTTGAGTTGTGCTTTAGAAGAACAAACTTTTTAACAGTAAGTAACAAATTGGGCCATTTTGCCTTCATAAGATGGGACGGCAGAAGAGAAACAGGATGTGCTTGGAGGAGGGAGTGAGAGGATGACGTGCAGGGCCGGGGTCGGATTCAAACCCACAGATTTTATCCGCAAATCTTGGTATAAAATACAAAATTCACAATTTGATACTGAGCTGTTAAAGAAGCATGACACTTTGTAAATATTGTGAATTTCAGGTGTCTTAAAAACTAGGCCGATATGGGACACATTCATTGCATTGATCCCTCAAATGCAGTTTTGCAAACACTTGTGGAAAAGATATTTAACAAAGACAAGATGGTCACTCAACTGGAAAGTAACTGTGCATGTACGTGCGTCACCGCTCGTCACATTTTGGAGAGTCATGATGCTTGTTGTAATCCATACAGCGCCCTCTGCTGGTGAACGAGAACGACTAGTGTGATACAATGAAACTCAAATGAAATGCTATTTGACTGGTGAATAAATCTCATTTTCTCGGCGCATATCGGAGATAAAATAAGCCGATACCAATAGTCACTGGATATGTTGAGTAAACTACAATCAATCAATCAAAATCTAATTGTACTTACTGATTTTGGGGAAATATAATATGATAATGGTGTGACTTCAGTTTGACTGAAGAAATATAACAAAAATGTTTCTTTAGCATTCAAAAGCCAGCACAGGTATGTCTGATTTCAACTGGGAATGTTTTGAATTATGAATTTGTTTTCTGGGATGTTAACACCTGGATGATTTATCCCTCGTTTCTCTTCACTATCGGGGAATTGAATGCATCTTTTGGGTCCATAGGGAGGCAGCTGAATAAGAACAAGAAGTGAAAGAAAAGACTCCATGCAATTTATCTTCTCCCCTAATTCCTGTGAAGACGAATAAATTCTGGTCTTAAAAAGTTGATTTTCCCAATGAAACTGATGAATTTATGACTTCATCTGGAGGTGCTGTAGCAACGCTTGTTTTCTCTTCACTTGATTCATGGGATCATTTTCTTTGGGATCTGGGAAACCAAACAATATTCTGGTGACCACGGCACGCCATCCTGCCACTGACCACACTGACGAGGGGACATAAATAATCTAGATCTCGAATAAATGACTAAAAATGACTCGTTTCACAGAAGAAAATTAGTAAATAAAATGTATGCATGCATGTCTACCTTTTAGTTTCATATTTAGTTTACTCATTATACTTACTCGTCTGGACTACTGAAACTCTCTCTATAGAGACTTCTCAGGTGCAGACCCTCGTCTGTGGAATCAACTGCCTCCCCTCATCAGAGGCGCTAACTCATTAAATTCCTTCAAAGCACAACTCAAAACCCAGCTGAGCCTTTGAAATAAGTTAAAAAAAATCCAATATTTTACGTCTGTCTTTGTTGTTGTTGTTTTTGCTCCTTGTCTGTGCAGCACTTTGGTGAAATCGGGTGCTTTAAACGAGCTGTACGAATAAACTTGACCTGACTTTATGAATTGATAAGAAGTTTGGTAAAGATGTGACCTGCCTGTCCTGCCTCGTATGCCATTGTTAGGAACTTAAAACATGAGTCTGTACTTGTGTGAACAGTTTGCCAAACACCAGGAAAGGAATAACCAATGTTTGCTTTCACATGCAGGAGGGGGGTCATGTATGAAGCTTCTTGCTCTGATTTACTCCCTCAGTCTCACAGCCAGAGGACGTGCAATGGTTCCCTTACTGCTGTTGCTGCTGCTGCTGCTGCTGCCTGGACTGCCCATACTGCTGCTGAGTGATGAGGGTAGGCTTGCTTTTCATTTTGGTAGTAGAAAAAGTAACACATCTTTACAGCTATTTTGACTAAAAAATCAAGAGAAACTGAAAAATATAAATTGAACCATCATCTGGTTTTCAAAAAAGTAAATCTTGAGACGCTTTACAAAAGAGCATATGTGATAAAATGCAGGAAAGATTTCTCCTTTGTGTTCCTCACGTTCCTGTTGTCCACACTTCCTCACTGCTGTGGTGGAGGTCGGAGCAGGCCTTGCATGAACGAGGTCGGCGGTGTTTGAGGGACGACACAGTCCGGTGGTGGTGGCTGGGCGTCGGGGACGTCAGGTGGTAGTTAGTGCCCGATCACCTCGCTGAAAGTTATCCTTATTGATTCCCCCGTTCGGAGAAATTAAAAGGTTACAACAGCTTGAAGGAGAAGAGCAACAAACTCAAATCTGAGAGTGAGCTCTTTCAGTTTTACAAAAACCTTTTTTAAAAGAACCTTTAATATTGGTCTGTCGAAATTGAAAACTTAAATATTCAAATAAACCAAATAAAAATATCTTATTTTACAAGTATGTAGATTGATTATTTTGAGGTTTTTTTCAGCCATTA